CGACGGAAATATTTAATGAATTGGCTTTGACAGCTAAAGAAATGGGCTTAGAAATTAATACAAATATAAGAAAACGACACACGGAGAACTGGACGTAACATTGAGTTATATAGGCGACGTGACGAGTCAGGTGTATCAAATATTATTAAATTGAAAAGACTGCGATGTCCAGGGCATGGATGGAAAACGCACACCGAAAAGGATTCTGGAAAGCAACTTTACTAGAAAGAGGCCTGTGGGTAAACCAAGGAAAAGATGGGTTAATGCAGTGGAAATAAGACAGCAGGCAGGTCTTGAACGTGAGAAGTTGGGAAAAAAGAATCTCTAGACAAGCAAGTTTGAAGGCCAATGATCGACTTCCGGCTATTGCGCCATAGAAAAAGAAGAAGAATTTGTATAAATGTATGAAAGAAAACTACAAAAGGTAATAATGCTGACGCAATCACAAGAAACTGAAATTTTACCACACAAAAGGCATGGAATGTTAAGATAACTAATATCAGCATTTGATACAGCAATGTTAATCGGAGTCCGTACCATCGTAACTACTAAAGACATGTCTCAGTTTTCAATTTTTTAGAAATACAGATATTCCTGGCGAAACGAGAATTTCGTGGGCATATTTTCACAAAATGGTGACCGTCTGGGAGTTGAAGTTAGCGCAAATACAAGACAAATTTGGTGGCAGTTTTAGGGGTTAATGGATATGTTAAAATAGTTTTACGACTACTGATTATGAATAAACCTCAAATTCAGTAATCACTATAACATAAAGATCTTCCAGTCGGTGAAAATTAATAATTGACCTAGCAGCAATGTGTTACTCTTAACACAAGGCGGAATCGGCCTTTCTTTAATGAATCTTTAAAAATCAGTAAATAATTTCAGTTCTCTCCGCCTCTTATTTTCCGGCACTGCGCATCAAATTCTATCCAAGTTTCTCAGTCGATTATTTAGGTTACTTTCCTTTGCATTACGCCGAAAGATTGCGCAAACGAAGCTGAAAATTGTATGAAAATGGCTGAAAATGTCTCCTGCGATGAGCAATACCATTAAAGGTAACGACCAAGTTCAGTTACTATGAGAAAATCCAGGGATAAAACCTTAAAACAAAACACAGTCTCACTTTTTACTTCAAACTGTGAACGATGCATTTTTCGCTGAAAGATACCGGAAGACAGATTTATGGCTTAAGGCTGACAACATTCCATTATTCAAATCTTCCTGACAACGCAAATGCATTCTGTCCGAACACGTACGTTCCCACGACAATGGTGTCATCTTATCTACGACACACGAGACGCGGCCAGACCACAAAGCACGCCAGCTATTTTTGCAACTCACTGGACTCGGCTGTGAGCGACTCAACGTGACGCAGGCGCAAATACTACTATCATGTTGCATTTACACGAAAAATGGCTTTGGAATGTCTAAACTGAAGAACAATAGATACTGAACAAATTAATAATCGCTTTCGTATGTGAAAGGCAATTCTGATGTGGTAGGTTGGCAACAATTGTCTTTCGTCTTATTTTTTATGACATGGAGATTAGTGGGTCACTTCATATTTTAATTAAAATTTTCACTCTGACAAATGACTGGCTACCGGCGAAACAACACAGCTTTAATTGTAGGTTAGGTTGACAAAAAGCTCTTTACTGTGGTTAAAGCGGGTCTGAGGGCGACTATAAGCACTAACCTTCATCTTAAACTGAATTCTAGAATGAGTGGAGCTTTGTACTGGGATGTAAAAACTTTTGTTTTGAGGTTTGTGGCGTTTAGGATAATAATTACGTCTCACAGATGGGCACCCATTGTTACAAACTCTGGACGCGTAGTGTCATTTGTTAATTTCTTAAACTCACTTTACAAAGACAACAATTCTCGTAGACAAAACAGCTAATTTCACTCGAATTAATAATTTTACAGAACAGACTAACTTAAGTGACTAAAAGCAGTGGTAAATCTCCACTTAACTGACTCTTCGCCCTGATGATGGAAGCAGAAAAGACCTCCGAAACGTTGGTAAACTTTTACCAAACTACACAGCGCTACAACCCAGAAGACAGAAATCTTCAGACTCATCGCCCTGATGACGGAGGCAGTATGACCTCTGAAACGTTGGTTAACATCGACCAGACTACACAGCGCAACAACCCAGAAGACAGATAGCTTCAGAATCACCGCTCTGACAACCTCAAATATCGCCCTGAGGATGGAGGCAGTATGACCTTCGAAACGTTGGTAAACAATGACCAGACTACACGGCGCTACAACCCAGAAGACAGCCATCTTCATCTAAAACACTGTCATTACGATAATCCACGCCATCTTGTGTCCCATGGTTCGTGTAGAGCTAACGAATATTAACTACGCAGTGTGAGCGTGAAGAGGGGGCCTATTCTATTTCAAGACAGATAAGTGGATAAGGTAATAAACTTAAAGCCTGGGGCCGCATCCGGTCTGCTGTCCGTGGTTTGCACATCACTGTTCTAGTATGTAACAACGGCGAATGAAGTTCCAGACAAAATGGTATGAGTGCATCAAAGTGACCACTGCGCCCTCCTTCCCATCTCATTATTTGCAATGAAATGTCATTCGATGACAAAGCGTCGTTAAATAAACTTAGACGAACAAACAAACCCCCTAGACGTGAACTCTATCTTCCGAATCTCACACACACGTTGAAAGTACACTTTATGGAGGAATTGAATCTCTCTCGTATATACAGGATTTCTGACGATTAACTCCAACCGTTCATCACGGCATTTCAACTCACGACGATGCTAGATTATTTGGCAAAGATGAGTAAGGAAAATGAACAGGCTACAATGATCCAGCACGCACAAATACCTGGAGGAAATTAAGTTCAGCAGACTCTCAGTTATCCTCGGCGGACTAACCGGGGTCTATCTGATTTAAACAAAAGTTAAAAATTAATTTAGAAAATCTGTTTTAAAAGTTGGAACATTTAAAAAGAAATGAATAAATGCAACAATGACACAGCCTCTCATATTAACATAAACCAATTGTCGCTAAAAGTTGAAGTATACAATAGAAAGTACTCCTTTCCTTTTTTTTAAAAAAACTCGTTATATACTGTATTAAATTTTACGATACTTTCTCTTTAGTAAATCTTTAAAAATATAATTAGTTTATGTCTGTACAGAAACCTGCATATTTGTTATTTTTGCATGTTTTTCTTTCATTTTCGCGTATTATACGCGAAATTACTTTTCCAAACCAAGGCGGACAATGTGTAATCTATTATACTTCCAGTCAGAAACTGCTTAACAATCATCAATAGATTTCCGAAAATTATTTCTTCTCTCTCTTTTTTGCAAAGCCTCTCATATTATGTAACTGAAGTAACGTCACCTGACCCGATTCGGTCCTCAGGATGTGATACATGATCGGGAAAGAACTTCAAGCCACGAATTCTGAGATCTATTTTTTACATTCAGGTCCTCGAAAGCGTTTGTTCATGCCAAATCGTCGATCAATTATTACTATATTTAACGATATTATATCAACTGTTGAAGTTGTGCGAAGATCATTAACGGTGAAT